TAGACGAACTAGAACCACCCACAAGCTGACCTCAGAGGTCATCACGCCGCCTATAATCCACTTTGGTTGCCCCCATGCAGAGCTGATGCAGACGGAGCTGCACCACATCCAAACCCTGACCGTCATGTCGGAGGTGTTCAGGAGAGGCATGCTGGAGGAGCTGCAGCTGGACTGGGAGTCCGTCGCTCGGATCTTCCCGTGCTTGGACCCACTGCTGCTGTTCCACAGGAACCTCTTCAGAGCGCTGCAGGAACGCCGACAGGCCGCAACCCAAATTGAGAACTCACAAAATTACCTCATCCATCAGATTGGAGATATTCTGCTTCAGCAGGTTGGTGAAGGTGGATTCATGCACATGAATATACAGAAGTACACGTCTGTGCTCAGCATCTGATGGTGTATCTCAGTTCTCAGATGAGAACGCTGAGAAGATGAAGCAGGTGTACGGAGAGTTCTGCAGTCATCACATCGAGGCTGTCAATGTCTTCAAAGAGCTGAAGCAGCAGAACAAGAAACTCCAGAATTTTGTCAGAGTGAGCTCCTGTTTCAAATCCTCCTGTGGTTTTTAAAATCAGAGTTTTATAGCAATTCAGCAGCTCGTGTTCTTATTATTTATTTATTTGTTTTCTCTGCTCACAGCAACAAAGCAACAACTCTCTGGTCAGACGAAGAGGAGTCCCAGAATTCATCCTGCTGGTCACTCAGCGCATCACCAAGTACCCGGTGCTGCTGGAACGGATATTACAGTACACTCAGGGTAAGTCAGCTACAAAAAAAAATGCAAATATATGCCACTCTTGAGCTTGTTGCATGTTCTATGGAGCACAAATGGCAAAGCAAAGGGGCATTTTTGGGTTCTTGTATAGCTAAATCCTAATTATGACCATTACGTGTAAAGTGCCAATAGATCAATAAAATGTCATCGTAGCTGAAATGTGTTTAGCATAATTAGAGAAACGATTGATTTTGCAGTTAACTGATCTGTATAAATTTGCCATGTAAGCAGACAGCTACCACGTCTTAAACACAATGAACACACAACGAGACTAAAAGGTTCTGTTTTTACTTTGAGTGCTGCACAATCGAAAACCGTGTGGGTTATTTTTATGACCTCTCTGTTACTCCTGTTATACGAATCTGCTATTTCTGCCCACAGAAGGAAGTCAGGAACACTCCGACTTGTCGAGTGCTTTGGCTCAGATCCGTGATGTGATCGTAGCCGTGGACTTGACTGTGAACAAGTACGAGAGGTGTCAGGAGCTGCAGGAAGTTCTGGCCCGGCTGGAAAACAAGAGCTTCGCCAAGCTCAAGAACGGCAAGATGTTTCGCAAACAGGACCTGCACAGCAAACACAGGGTTCTGCAGCACAAAGGGCTGGTCTACTGGAAGACGGCCACGGGGCGTCTGAAAGGTGTGCATCAGATCTTTTTGTGCTGCTAGATGTTTTTTTAGCTTTGAGACAAAAAGCCAACATGTGTGTCTTCTGTTTTCAGATACTTTGGCCATTCTGCTCACAGACGTTCTGGTTTTCCTGCAAGAGAAAGACCAGCGCCTTGTATTTGCTGCTGTGGTGAGCATCAACCCAAACTATTCTTTGACATGCAGAAGGCAAATCTAGTCCTCTGCATCCTTTAACCCATTTTTATGGGTTTGCTCCTTCAGGACCAGAAGCCCCCAGTAATCCCTCTGCAGAAGCTCATCGTCAGAGAAGTAGCCAATGAAGAGAGAGGGATGTTCCTTATCTCTGCCTCCTCGGTGGGGCCAGAGATGTACGAAGTTCACACGACCACCAGGGAGGAGAGGAATGCATGGATGAGACACATCCGCCAAGCTGTGGAGAGGTGAGCACATGTGGTTCAAGCCAAGTCCTCGGTGTTTGTCCTGCTCAGAGTCTGCGTGCGCCTGGTTAATGTGTGTAGATGTTTGTGTCACTCATTATCTAACCTACTGGTCTACATGGCAGCTGTCCCGAGGAAGAGGAAGAGGAGGAGCGAGCCGCTGAGACGGAGGAAGCCAGGCAAGCAGCAGAAGTGAGAGTTCAGAAGATCACCAAGTTCCAAGGTAAGAAAATAAACCATGCATGCACTAAAGTGGTCCCTCAAGGATTTATTGATATGATGGAGAGCTTTTGTAGTTATAAAACGTTCAAAAAACATTCTGTGATATGAACCATAAGCAATAATAAATCCCAATCTCTGTGTTTGCTTTGCACAGAGACGTTGTTGGGTCAGGACCAGCGAATCTGCAACAGCCTGGAGGAGAAGTTGCAGCTTTACGCCGAGCTCACAGAGTTAACCCTCCGCTCACCAGAACCGGCACCACATCGCCACCTGCTGGTACAACCTGCCCAGTACACTGACAGTGAGACGCCACGACAGGCCTCCTCCCTGCTCACAGCCGCACTCAGAGAAGGTAAGAAAACTACTTACTGTGGGGCTGGAGATTACACAAACCTGATAATTAATTGGTTTGGGCAAATCTACTGTGGTGGGCAAACAAATTTAAGTCTGTACCTAGGAAACGCTGTACCAAACTGAATCTAAGATGAAATACTTTTATACACAACAATGATGGCTATAAACAACTTTTTAAAACTTGCATCTATTTAATTTATCTCAGACTAATTAAATCCATCGTTATAATGTATCAGCAATGAGTTTTTTTTGTTTTTTTGGGCTCATCAGACAAGTTTTTAGGACGGCATTATGCAGAATGTGCTATTGACAGCTCCCTGGTTTGATGTTTTTAAGGGTGTGCAGAACTTTTAATCGACTAAAATGCGGCTTTGCAAAGTGCATCAGTATAAGTTATTAGAGTATTAGGCATTTGTTTTAATTAGGATCGTGTCACAGACGTACAATGTCTATAAACTGGCAAATTTCAATGCAAAAAAAAATCTGCACACAGTTTTGTAGGAAAACAGAAAATTGCAAGTGAATAATTTATTGAAAGTGTCGTTTGCTGTAGATTTACTGAACTTTGACTCTTATTTGTCTTTCCTGCAGCGGAGAACCTGATCACCATCCTACAGGCTCGCGATGGCCTTTCTGTGCAAAACCAGACGTCTCCCGTCCGAGGACCAGAGTGCTGCAGCTACAACAGCCACGGCAGCAGCATTCAGGAGTCTCCGTCTGAGCGTGAGTCACAGATGCCTCCCCTGGCTGTGAATGACATTTGTAAAGCTTGTTTTTGACCTTTACTGATGTGGGGGAACCACATTTTCTAATATGAGCAGGCCCTAACATTTACCACATACCTTCTCTTTCCACGTCCCCACAGCGGATTATCTGAGCACGCTCAGTATGAGCTCCACCTCTCTGGGATCAGACAGCGAGCTAACAGGGCTGGACAACGTGCTGTGGAGCTCAGCCGTGGAGCTGAGAAAAGGCGACACCAAAGGGACACTCGTAAAGGTTCATCCACTTCAGTTCCCCCATGAGCGATGTTTGTTAATGGAAAAATATATCTGTGATTGTTCCACCGTATTAACACCTTGTTCTGTAGGTGGCAGAGAGCGTGCAGAGTCTGACGCAGCTTCTCTACAGTCTGCAGGTGAGAAGAACCCACATCTCATATAGCTGAGCTAATATCTGGATTGAAAAGGACGAGTTAACATAAACTCTGACTTTCCTTTACTTCCTAAAATAATGGGTTGTTTATAGACTGTTGTTGTTTTATCTTAAATTGTTAAAATCTACCCAAATCTAATCGTAATTTATATCTGATAAGGATTCCAGTAGATATGTTTTCCATGGGATGAATTCAGAATGAACAAATGCCATCAAATTCAAACCTTTAATATGACATTCGTGGATTTAATTTAAACCTGAGGGAGGCCTGCACAGATTTTGCTGCAATGAGTTATAGAGGCTTTTCAAAATAAAAGTCCCCTTGTTTTTATTTAGGGGACAAATCCACATTAATAAACACTGATATGTGCTCTACATTCCCCCTGAAATGTTCAACTATGATGCCAGTGCATATGCTACAGGTAGTAGCTTGAGTGTGATCAAGTGTCTTCTCATGTTCACAGGCGGCTGTGACCCTCCAGGACAGCTGCTATGAAGTCCACAAACTCCTTCTCCAGGAGGGAGAAAGACCTCAGCTCCGAACCATCACTTCCCTCCAAAGCAGCTTGGTATCAGCCACATATCATTATTAATATTAAAATAAACACGCGTACCAGTGAATTATTGGAATAATGAAAGCAAAAGTTAAACCAGTGTCTGTTGTTCACCCAGGAACAGGAGAGGCAGAGGAGTATTGAAAAGAAGAAAGAAGACGTAGAAAAGAAGGGTTCAGAGAGGAAGAAAGAGGAAGTGGTGGAGGTGCAGAAACTCCATGTGAAGTTGAAGCAGGAGCAACAACGTTGGGACAAAGAGTGTTCGGCCAGAGAGAAGCAGCAGGTGAGCTTCCTGTTGATCAGCTTTATCGCTCGTCCTCCCGCTCGCTCTCTGCTTTTATTCCATGGTCAACACAAAAAACATCATAAATCTAAAATCATTCTCTTGTGTTGCTTAGTTTTTATGATGTCATGTTTCAAACATATGTTGAATCATTCATCATCTCATTTATGATTTCCATACTTTATATGCGGGCTCCAAGGTGGATCAGTGGTTAGCACCGTCGCAGCTAGAAGGTCGCCGGTTTGCGTCCCGCTGAGGGCACTGGGATCTTTCTGAGTAGAGTTTGCATGCCCCCCGCAACCCTAGTGAGGATTAAGCGGTGTATAGATGATGGATAGATGGATCCTACATATGCATTTTACTCATTAGCAGAAACTTTGAGAGTAGCCGTAATAGTGTTAAGTGTGTTTGGCTAGCTTAAGAAATGTGAACTTTGAATGTTCTAGCAGGACGAAAACAAGCCGTCGTTTCCAGGAACTAAAGAGAAAAACAAAGTCTGTCTCTTTCTCCTCTGTTCCCGTTATCAGGTCAGACTGACGCTGGTTCAATGGAGAGAAATCCCCTATTGACAAACAGTTTGAATTATTTCACATTTAATTACAAATTAAAATTAAAACGCAGAAAAAAAACCACCCCTATTTGATATATTGCACTAGATTACATGCCAATACTAACTGATAGAGACACGCAGTTAGATAAAAAGCGAAGAGTAGCGCATATCAACACAACCTGCCCCCTGAATCCACCTCCCTGATCAGATAGCTTCACACAGCTGCTGATACCATCAGTGCACGATGTGCTGTGGAGCTCAGATGTTGTTTTGTGGTGAAGCGCTGTAGCTTCCTTTTTCTTTCGTGTACATCTGCCTGTTCTCTGCCATCAGCCTCAATTTATTGTGCTGCTTGTTCTGCGTGTGCCTGCATTTAGAAAAGTGCAAGAGCAGGAATAATACACGTCGTAGAGATTTAAATATATAAACCTAAACATATCAAAGTTTGTTAACATGCAAATCACAGTTTGCGTCTTATTTGCACATTTCTAAAGCTTAGAAATCCAATCCCGTTGATTTTACTGTAACCACAAGACGACAGACGAGCCGTCTCTCAGGTTTCTGATGTGCTGAAGCTTTGTGTTCCTACAGAGCGAGCAGGAGAACGTGCTGGAGCAGCGAGAGCAGCAGTGTCTCCTGGAGGCCGAGCGGCTGCGAGTTGAGCGCGAGGAGCTCGAGGCTCAGCTGCTGGAGTATCAGCAGAATCTGGAGCGACTGAGGGAGGGCCAGAGGAGCGTGGAGAGGGAGAAGGAGAGGATCGAAGCCCAGCAGAGGCTCCTCCAGAGCTGGAGACACAACCGCCAGAGCAGCCTGCCCGTCACGATACCGCTGGATGGATACAAGGTGAGGGAGGAGTGATGGTGCTTTATTTTGTTGTTAATGTGTTTTCAAAGATGGGACAAGGTTGGGTTTTTTTTCCACATAGTGTAACTTTGAGCCAATAGTCAGAAACTATTTGGTCTACTTGTTCTTTATTGCTGATTGTGAAGAAATGGATTGATTTATCTTTAAAAGTTCCTGAGATATTGTCATTCAAACATAACCTCAACTTTAAATGTGCAAAAATAATGTGAGAAATTTAAAATATATATTGAAAAGTATTCAATATTTAAAGCTAACACTTCACAGATACCATTTTAAATATCACAGTTTATGATATAAACAAAAAGTTTGAAGCAGATCAGAGCTGGTCGAGCAGAAGGCCTCTGACGATGTGCAGTGAAATAAAGCTGCTAAACAAACCGCATCACATCTGCTTTTCTGCTGTTGTTTTAAAGCCCCAGGTGTCCAGCCACAGCCGCTCAGGCAGCCTGGATGGAAACTGCTCCGTGTACGAGAACGAGGCGGCTTTGTTCGCCTCCCTCCAGCAGAACCACGTCCACCAGCCCGCCACCAACAACCAGCACCAGCTTCTGCTGTCCATGCCGAGGAAGAACCACGACGGGCCTCTGCACAGCCCCGGCTACACCGCTAACCTGGGCCTCAGCGCCAGCCTCTACAACAGCCTCAACACCCTGCTGAGCCAGACGCACAGCAAGCAGGCTCTGGACGGTCTGGCCTTCCCGGGTTACAACCACGGCTGTCCGCGGCCCCTGAATGACTCCATCCAGCCGTTCAGCAGCAGGGTCGCTGCCCAGCCACAGAGGACCAACAACAGTAAGACTGCTTACTTCACGGTGCATGAAATCATTCAAATGATGCTGCATATGTATGAGGGCACTTCAAAAAGTTCTCGGCCCCCCCCCCCAAAAAAACAAAGATTGATATAGTCTCTCTAATGCATCTGGCCTACCGGTGTTAAAGTTGGGAAGAAGGTCACATCTTGAGCCTCCAGATTCTCCTCAGCAGCGTGGATGACCTAATCAGCACTCTGAAAATGTGGATTGGGCTGCTTCTGTGGATGGATGCATCGTCCTGGAGACAGAGCAGTTTCCTCTCCTTTTGCTTTAAACATCTGAGTGCTTGTGGACAGTGATACAAGGCTTTATAATGTAAAGTTATGCCCTGAAATAGTAGTTTCGAGAACTGTTTGACGTACCCTCGTATTGCACACATCCAGCCCTACCAAACAGTCTTTTGATAGTTTACGATGTTCTCCTTCCAGCAGACTTCCACCCACTGCTGGACAGACAGTCTCCAGATCCCTGGAGGTCAGAGGTCACAGGTCACGGACTTTACGAGGACGGCTACTCCTCCTCCCCCTCTCTCACCCCTCTCCTCCCCCCGCAGGCCTACCTCTCTCTGGAAGGACAGAACGGGGAGGAGGGCGGAGAGGAGAACATTGTTTACCTCTGAGGGCAGAGAATGGCCTCACGTACAACTGGACAAACATGAATATATATCGGTTGCTTATGTGTGCATTTGTGTCCGTCTGAGTGTGATGGATTAAAGTTCTTTTTAAAAACATCCTGAATGATCAGATGAGTTGTGGGTCGGTGCAGGTAGAAGCTGTGCACAGATACACTCGGTGCCTTTAGCATGTGCTGAACTAATCTTTCTCCTCCGGTGTGATCAAACCGTCGTGCCTTTTTTTTGCAAATCAGCTTTTCTACTTGTACTGCCCATGTTTTTACTTCTACTATGATTTTTTTTAAAGCTATCCGTTGCACTTGTTTGATGACAGAGAGGTTCCTTTGTGATTCAAACACTGAAGCAGCAAGAAAATCAGGACAGAAGTATTGACGTTTTCCCATCAGCACTTAAACAAACATATATAAGAAGCCATTTGAGCCCCGAACTATGTATAGAGCGCTATTGATCTTTAATAATATTTATAAGGGATTTGTGAGCATCTACAAGACATAAAAAATATACTGACATTATTGTATAAATATTAAATATATGTATAGTTTTCTGGAAATATGCTACCTATGCACACTATGTCGGAGGAGGATCTTATATTAATATCATTATTATTCTCACTTAAGTGCCAAAAATCTTGCTATCCGATACTGTAATTGATTTCTGTAAAGAGTGGGTGTATGTTTTTTTTTTGTTTTTTTCCCAGTTCGTTGCCTTTTCTGATAATTTATTGCGTATAAATTGCTTCGTGCACTGTAAACAGTAATAATATTTTTGTTTTAATACGTGTTGTCTTGTAATCTCTATAATAATCAGAACTGTGATGTGCCATATTAATATCGTGTACATAAAAACCGTTGTTCCAAACCTCTGCCGTGTGTGTCGTCTGACTCGTTCAACAGTGTGATGTTTACACACCTCCCATGAGCTGTGATGTCGTATTACGCAATCCTCTGCTCAGCCAACTGCTTTTTGCCATCGACTCATGAGAACTTTCAGTTAGTGGGCGCAGTGAAATGCCGATGTGTCTCACTGTGGTTTTATTTAGATCGTTTTTCAGCTGAGACGATGACAAGCGTCAGAATTTCCTTCATCAGCTTGCTCGGGTTGCATCTAATATTTTCTGTGGATTACAGCAAATGCAGCGTTGACACCGGTGAGTTGAATTAACTTAACGTCTCTCAGGTTGTTTTTCAAAAGCTCCTTTTGTAACGTCCTGTAACCTTACATGCATTTTGTTGTATTGTGTGCCAGTTTGGCAACGAGCAAAACCAAGCATCAGTCATCTGAAGGCTGTCAGCGACAGGCAAAGCCTCATGGTGAGCTGGCCGGTTAACCACAGTGGTCTAGTGGATGAAGTTTATGAGCTCCAGATTGGCCGCACTGAAAAGCAAACCATTGTTTATACTGTGAGTATGTTGCGGAGTTTGTTTTTTAGTTCTGTGATTTTATGCTGCTGATGATACTGATTTTAACATTATTTATTATTATTAATAATAATAATAATAATAATAATAATAATAATAATTATAACGTGTGATGGAGTTCATAGATGACACGGCCTGTTTGTGTGAGTTTAGACGAATGTGACTGTATCCTCTGGAGGTTCACATGAACACACATGGACGTGGATCTCTGATCTGCCTCTGGAGTGTGTCGATCACTCGGTCAGGATACGACATCTCTATAACCAGTCTGTCCCGAGTCCTTGGAGCAACTGGACGACCAACCCTGGTGAGACGACATTCTGTTACTTTATTGTCCATATATGTGAGTGAAACCAAACCAAACATGTGGAAAGCAGCTTCTTTAGAGTATTGTGTCACTGAGCTGGTGATTCTGTTGAATTTTATTTACATAGCACCAACTCATAACAGGAGTAAACTTGGGGCATTTCACAGACAAAGACCTTACGGCAAGATATTATAAGATAAGATAAGATATGCCTTTATTTGTCTCACAGTGGAGAAATTCACATCGTTGGTAGCAGCATTCAACAGAGGTACACATATACGAGACAGGAAAAAATACAAAATAAAAAATAAAAAATGTACATATAAATATAAGAAATAGTGCAAACAAGGAGAGTATAGTGAGAAATCCAACAAATCCTCTTTGAGCGAGCACTTGGACACAGTGCAAGAAAACGGTCCTTTTTCACAGAAGAAATCCCTTTTACAGGAAAAATAAATAAAAAATCTCCAGCAGAACCGGGTTCAGGGAGGGCAGCCATCTGGAACAGGATAGTGGAGACGTACAACAGAAGAGTAAACGACGGGGATGTTGGTGGGACCAATAACTTTAGATCAGAAACATGCAACTCTGGAGGCAGAAGCACCTGCAGAGACGACAAAAGTCCTGAGCGAGGACGGCAGGTCCATCTTCTGCTCTATTGCCTCAACGAGAATCAAAAGCACGAGCTTTAGGAACAACTAATACCCTCCTATAGCCAAGTGCGATCCCAACAGCACTCATTGCCGCTCTGTGATGACATTAAATAAGCAGCAGTTTCTGTGTTTTTTTAAGATAAAGTGAGTCCCCACATCTCTTCCCCTTCATCGCTCTTCCTATCAGGGTTTCTCAACTCTTGCATGTGGGTTGCAGTCATTGCAAATGTCTGTTGCAACACACCTCCTACTGAAACTGTGCTCATGAAAAAAACAATTGGAAAAATGTAGTTGTTTATCATATATTTATATCTATTTATACACCGCTTAATCCTCACCAGGGTATATATTTATATTTATATTTATATATTGGCAGCATTGTTTAGCCACACTTTTTAATTGATCTCTTAATCTCGTATTCAGAGATAGTTTAAGGCGATTTAGAAAAGCCTTGTAATATACCGCTGATGTTGCTTCTTCTCCTTGCATGCAAAGCTGTCTGGATCCTCATCACTATAGCTTTACTCTGTGTCTTTCAGGATTCAAGAGTAAGGACATGTCCGAGATATTTCCCGCCGAGCAGGTGCTGAGGGAGGGCAGCAACCCAAAGTTCTGCTGTGTTCCCGCAGTAGGAGTCAATATCACGCAAATGACCTTCAGAAACCAGCCATACCCTCTTGAGAGCATTGGAGACAGAGTCAAGGCTATCTCTGTTAAAAACCTGGAGATTCCAGAGGGACTCTATAAATTTGTGATAATCGTTTGCAGCAGCACAACAGGCAAGATCGAATACGCCTCTAACGATGTCAGTTGTGAGTTTGAACTATTACTATTTTAATATTCTTGGTTATCTTCATTTTATTTTATTTTTTTAATGCAGAACTTGTACATGTGAATAAAGCGTGTTTTTGTGTGTAGTTCCTCCCCAGAAACCCGTAAACCTCAGCTGTTCGACCTCAGACATGAAAACTGTCAAATGCACCTGGGATGTAACCAGAAAACAAGACCAGTTTGATCCCAACGAGCGACAACACACTCTGCACATACAGTAAGTAACATAAGTAAAATGCATTTGTAGCAGAATGTCACATATATGGCAGCGTTTTAATAAATATATTAAAACTCCTACCGGCAAGATTCAGACGTCTTCTTCTCTTGTCTTGTACGTCTTGGTCTTGTCTCCATTACCTCCATATTTATCTTCTTTGGACAATCGTCTTTACACGACAACTTGACAATGACATTTACACGACAGATCAGACTTTAAACTACCACAGAGTAAGCAACCAGTAGTTACGCCTGTCAAAAAACATTTTAAAAGCTGTTATTCCTATTCTCTTTATTTTCTTGTTGAAAATGCAGAAACTCAGGCCGGGCGCCCATCAGGTGCAAGCTATCACAATGTACTTTCACAGCTGTGCCACAGCTGCAGGAATATAACATCCGTGTGGTGGTGAAGGACAAGCTGGGAGAGGAGGCGGAGAGCTACAGCTTCAACATCTCTGACAGAGGTCTGAAGTCATGGAAATCTCTATAAAAATATGGACTATACGGTATAGGTGTTTTGTGTATACTCAATATAAAGTTGAAAGTCATGCCCAGGGCCTTCTGTGATGGCCTTCAGCTATTCTGCGTGAACACTGGAAGGTGAACTTTGCTGTAACATATTTTTATGCCATTAGTGTTTCCTGTAGTGGAGTTGACCAGAGTGAGTCCTGGGGTGACCGATGTCAGCTTGTCCTGGACCGTGCAGGGCAACTTGGCTCAAATGAACCCCGTCTGTCAGGTTTCTACAGTCCCGGGCCGCACCACAGAGGTGAGGTTTATGTTGTTCAACTAAAATGTTCAAACTACAGAATTAAAGGTCAGATTTGTTAGTGCATGTGTTGTTTTTTCCGCCTTCTGTCTGTGCAACAGCTGAACTGCAATAATGCGAGTGGTCTCTGTGAAGTCAGACTGGAGCATCTGCTTCCCAACACTGACTACTACACCAGCGTACGTTGCTCCGTCAATGGCAGACTCTGGGGAAAATGGACACGATCCATATCCTTTACAACCGGTAAGTGTAAAGCGGTGTGTCTCACCAGGACAGTATGGTGCATTCAGGGTCTGGACTCAGTGGGTTGAAGTAAAAACAAAATGAGACAAAGTTTAACTGAAAATGATAAAGACCACCAAGAAGGTTTGTTTTCCTCCACAGAATCCACTTTCTTTCTTTATATTTACTCAGATGAACCAACAATACAACATCAAACCTACACTTTAGTCCGCTGGTTCTGCTACTGAACGTTCTGCTGCCTGTGACGCTTTGAAAAATAATGTTCCTCAGATCCGTTGGTGACTTTGGACTTATGGAGAAGAATCCAGCCGCTGTCTCACTCGGACTCTCGTCAAGTTACTCTACTGTGGAATCCGGTAAGCTTTCCATTAATTCTGTTGTATCAGCACAAATAATTGGGTGGTAAATCACCCAAACTACGTCACCGTCACGAACCTTTTCCACTATTAATGATCTATTTTATTCTCAGCATGTTGTCGGCACAGCAGCCACTGTAAAGGTCCAGGGCTACACAGTTCAGTGGTCACAGGAGGGACAGAACTGGACAGACAGGAGGGACGGTGGACAGAACCGGGCAGAGGTCTCCATCGGACCAGGAAGGTGTGACTTCACTGTCCAGGCTGTCCTCCACACCGGCTCCTCCATCCCTTCCCACGTCACCGTCCCACCGACGAACCAAGCAGGTGAGCAGCTAACCTGGAGTCACGTGTGTGGTTTTAATAATAAACAGCTTTTCTCTGTAAAAGCACCATTAAAAAAGTCATAAATAACACTTGCTTTCCAGAAAGCGTCCCTTCATCACACGGCTCTATTTAGCGTTATTGCTAATTTTATATGTCTGTCAGCTGGATGCTTTAAAAACATATGAACAGTTTATATTTGAAGGAAATTTGACATAGCAGCGAATTCTACGCTAGTGTAGATTTAGTTTGCTCAGTGGTTCCCAAAGTGGGGGTCGGGACCTCCTGGGGGGGTCACGAGACAAGGATAGAGGGTCACAAGATGATTCTGAAAAAAATCTATGGAAAATTAAAAGAAATTAGAAATGGCGTATTTTCACCTTAATATTTACAGAAGATTAAAAAAAAAACAAAAAAACATTCATCTGCTGCTTTTAAATTCTGTGTATTTATACCAAGTACTACAGTTCACATATGGAGATAACTTTGATGAATTCTGCTGCTAGCTCGTATTAAATGACTGTAAAAAACTATTGTTATGAACTTGTCTGGATTATTAGTCCATGTATGTGCAGCTTTTTTATGCTTCAACAACCTCTGGGGACAGTTTGGGGTCCCAGGCCTCTGGAACCATTATTTTTGGTGTTGAAGGCTGAAAAGTTTCCTCGATCCGCTGCCCTCAGCAGTTTGACACGATTAACGCAACTGAAGTTTGTGTCTGTATTTAGAAAAACCTCCAGTACAGAAGAGGCTGAGCAGCACCGCGGCTGGTGGTTTCAGCCTGTCCTGGGATCAGCAGAGCACCTGTGGCTATACTGTGGAGTGGTGCATTCTGGGAAATGCAGTGCCTTGTACTCTGCAGTGGCTGAAGGTGCCGGCAGGAAACAACACATTGCTCCTACCTGCTGGTAAGTTTTGTTGTTTCCCTTCAGGTCATCTCTGTAAAAGTTCTTCTTATTTTTATCTATTTTGATGTTTATTGTTGTGTTTTGTAGGTCATTTCAAAGCAGGCCTCAGATACACGTTCAGTATTTACGGATGCACAGACGATGGACACAAACTGCTGGAGACACAGACCGGATACTCAGAGGAGCTCAGTGAGTTTTTCATGAACTGTTTTGGAAATGTGTGTGTTTTGATGCACATTTGACAGCGACGTTTCTTAATGAGGTTGATTAGTTTTTGTTAGAATACAGAAGATGTACAGCGCGTGCAAAAGTCTTAAACGCTACAAGTATAAAAATAATTCCACGATAGGCTTTCATGTCATAATTATTCACACAAAGGGCACGAAAGATTAAAAAAGAAAAATGAGTCAAATCAGTAAGTGACAGCATCAGGACTCTTTAGCACAGTTTTGGAAGGCTGTTGGGTTTAAAGCAGCTTGGAGAACTTGCCACAGTTCTTCTTCTTCTGATTACCTCAGGTGCTTCTGTCTCTTCTATACAATAACAGACTGACTCCATGATGGTGAGATCAGGGCTCTGTGGGCTCACCCGACTCATACTGGACTCCTTGTTTTTCTCTTTCACAGATCGTAGTTCTTTATTGCTCTGGTCATGTGTACCTGTTGTGCAGTGTTTTATGTGAGTTTTGAAATTAAACTAAGGTGTGGTAGCTAAAGTTTTGACACTGGATGTCTTCATCAGATGATCTAAGGATGACTTCCTCTAAACACAAGGCGGCTGTCTTCCTGTTATTATTTATGCAGAGAGGACGCAGACAGTAATGCAACGACGCTGTAATCAGCAGAGGTCTGTGAACACCAGGTTTAGCTTCGCAAAGAAAATAACTGAACAACAAATCAGCATGTGCATGAGACAGAAAGTTACTGGAGTTGTTGTTTTTGTTTTTACACCAGTTGAGGAAGTTGCTTCGTTGCTTTCCGTGTGTTCATGTCATTCTAATCGATTCAATCTGACTTCCTTCCTCAATACCACCCCCGTTTTTCCTCAGAATCTGTACAGACCCCACATGCGGTTGAACACGTTCGGAGCACTTCCTCGTCTGTGACGCTGGAGTGGCTCTACAACGAAGATGATCCGGCTCAGCCCGCGTTCATCACTGGCTATCTGGTGACAGTCCAGGAAGCAGGATCTGACACGATGCCAGGTCAGGCTGGAAGTGAGTCAGGGTTTTTTTCTTTTGCCTTTATTGGATAGGACAGCCAAGAGAGAGACGGGAACGTGGGGGAGAAGAATGAGGGAGGGACTTACAGCAAAGGGCCATGAGCATGATTCAAACCCGAGGCCTCTTCATGGGGGACTACAGTGTACACTGTACACGGGTCGCCAGCTCAACCGGTTGAGCCATGAGTCAGTGTTTAATCATGTTTCATGAGGATCTGTGTTTGTTAAAATCAATGTATGACTGTTGTGAAGAAATGAAGTAACTGTGAGCAGGAGGCTGTTCTGAACAGTCCTATGCTTGGATTTATTTCTTCATTCAAAGCAGATCAACACGGGTTAGAGCGGGGGTGGGCCATCCTGGTCCTCGAGGGCCACAATCCTGCATGTTTTAGATGATTCCCTCTTCCAACACACCTGATTCAAATGATCAGGATCGTTATCAGGCTTCTGCAGAGCTTGATGATGAGCTGATGGAAGAGGGAAACATCTAAAACATGCAGGACTGTGGCCCTCCAGGACCAGGATTGCCCACCACTGGGTTAGAGTCACAGTTTGCTGCTCAACAAAACCAAATAAAGCGTTTTTTAATCTTTTTAATCTAATTTAAACTAGATCTGTTCAACGTGTCGGTAGCAGACCCCTCGAAGAAGTCTGTGACCATAGAGGACCTGCAGCCGAACCAACAGTATGTTTGCTCAGTGAGCGCTCAGACTAAAGCGGGACCCGGGCCGTCGGCCAGCATCACCATCAGGACCACAGTCAACTGTGAGTTTCATAACATCTGTAATCCAACAGTATCAAATGATGTTTGTTTTTTTCTTAGTGAAGTCTTGTACATGAGCTTGAATCTCACCGCCTCATCTTCTGTCGTAGACTCTGCTCACTTGGCCAAGATTCTGGCCCCCGTCCTGCTGCTGCTGGGCTGCACCGTCCTGCTGTGGCCCCAAAGAAAAATGTGAGTAATATTATCTTTAAATCTTCACCTGAACGCTATAGTTCCTGAAGACTTGACGGCCCCTCTCCTCCTTCGTTTTCTTTTGTCCTGCTTCTCCAGGCTGAAGGAGATATTTGCGTATCCCACCGGCATGAACATTAAAACTCCTGAGTTTGACAGCTTCCTGAACGAGGTAACGACAAACCAGCAGAATCATGTACAGAGAGGAAACAGTGACTGTGTGCAAACCAGAAGAGATGTTTAGCTCACACATAGTAAAATAAATAGAATAAGAGCACCACATGCCATAGTTAATACTGATAGAAGCGACATTAGTTTGTAGATTTTGACAGGTCTTTATAATTAAAACTAACGAGCTATTTCCTTCCCTTACATTTGTATTATTACTACGCCCTCTGCGTCTGTGTGCAGACTGATCGGAGGTTACGTTCTCAGAAGGCAGAGGTGTGCGTCAGCTGTGATATTGAGATTGTGACCACCAGATCTCCTGTGAGGGAAACAACTCCACTGACAGACCCTGAGCTCACAGACATGCCGTGTTCTCCCGGTTCTGGTTCCTCTCCTTCATCCACGACGCCTTCCCGTGTGCCGCTCCAAGCTGATTACTGTCCGCAGTCGGCCTTGCTGCACTGGGACAGGCCGACCCCTCAGCCAGCAATGAGCATCACAAACAAGAGCTACTTATACGCCGCGGTGGAGGATTATTCTGAGCACCAGCAAGTCACGTCCAGCGGAATGAAACCCGGCTTTGAACCGTCTGACTGTCTGCAGGAGTCGTGTGCTGTCATATATGGTTATATATCGAACGTTACTTAATGAGTGCATTAATAAGAAAAAAAAATTAAAAATGGTAAAGAGTTGGTAGCCAGAATCTGAATTAAAACACATTTTCTGGCCTTACTTTTACATGACATCACGTGTATTATTTTGGGTTTTAAATGAATGATGTAAAACACATTGGTTCAATGTTTTTGTTGTAAAAACTTCTCTAATTATACAACATATCTGTCGATGAACAGACACGTCTATGTAAATTACAGAACCAGGATTTCTTTGTCAGTCAATAGAAAGACTGTACATGTGCGGTGCTATACTTTAAGCTTCATCTGTTAAATACGATTAAATATTTGTGAAATCACTGTACATTTGCTCGTGTATTTTAATATTCATTTTATGTAAAAAGGCTTTTAATGTATTGTTTTTTACATTTGATAGATGTAAATGTACAGTCTGTTTTTGTAATTGTATGGATATCTGTGTATTTTTATAAATAGGAAATTATCTGTAAAATATAAAGAAGAAAATGTGTAAAATTACATATTTAAAAAAAAAAGAAATGTAAACTGTGTCCAAGACTAAAACTTATATGTTTTATTTCCTCGTTTCAAGACTGTAAACAGATGCTATGTTCATATGACATAAACTGAGCCTTCATTCCAGATACAGGTTTTGATTTTACTGTACATTTTAACATACGATTTGCATATTTGATGTGATCGGAAAATGTCACTTTCACATTGTATCTGCAGCTTCTACAGAAAACACACAGCTGGTCATCTGACGCACATTTTACCAGCGCTCTGTTTTCAGTCCAAAAATAAATCTTTCTGGGTTTTTACATATGAAGGTTTTTTTTACCACAGAAGAAGAAGGAACTCACCGTAAAGGTTTCGCTAAACTGTGAAGTAACTGAGATGTTATCTACAGGATGTCACTGCTCACACTGATAAGGCGAAGCAGAGAGGAGACAGAGAGATGCACATCTCCTCTGAACCTTAAAACATGTGAAAGAATCTGTTATTCAGTGAGGAAGACAAGATTAATAAAGCGGCTTTATTTTAAGAACAAATAAAGGAGGTGCGTTTCTTTGTCAACTGACTTCATTTCTTTGGAACTCCTCCGTCAGTGACTGATAGCAGAAGAAGTGTTTTTACTGTGATAAGGGTCTGACTCAGATATCAAACTATACAGGAATCCAACCCCTGAACTCTACTTGTTGGAACAGGCCTCTCACTAACAGCATTGTTCTCCTCCTGTGAGTCTACTGACAGTTTCAGCTGCACTTCACAGCCAGACTTTGGTTTCAACTGATATTG